TCCCCGATGGATGACACATCAGATGGAATCATAGAGGCCACTTTAGGAATTATGGGCACAATCTCGGGGCCGAGACCCCTGGTCCTGCTGGGACACCACAGCCTGACCCCAGACAGGACAGGGCTGGTTCCTCCTGTGACCCACACAGAAACCAGGGAAATGCAGAAAGCTGGAAGACACACCACAAAGGGCAAAAACATTGCTCACAACCCAAGGCCAAAGAAAGGTTTCACCTGACTCTGGTCCAAACCACGCTCCAAGTCACTGGGTTCCACAGGGACGGAGACCAAACACATGCAAGTCCAAGGCGGAAGGATAGGCACGCAGGGAATATGTGTCAGAGATGCGGGAGCTCCTAGGGAAGGACTCCGGCAAAGGAAACCCTATGGAGGCAGCGCTGGTCACCCTCAGACTGGCAGCTGTCTGGTCTGGGGACCAGCAGCCCTGGGGAGAACATGAGGAAGTAGAGGTCCCCTGGAGAGAACGGTGACAGGCACCCCTGTCTGGGAGAACAGTGAGCAGCACCCATCCCAGGCCACAGGTGCACCCATCCTCAGCCTCGGACTCAGCCCCGGAAACTCTGGCTCGGTTTTTCACACACCTATTGTCAGGAGTGTTCATCACAGCAGTGCTGGAGAGAGCAGGGAATGGAACAACACTAATGCCCAAGGAGATGGATGGGATCCATGGTCCCAGTCCTCATGATAGAATGCCCTGCAGCTACTGTCCCGGTGTCATCCGGGGCACAGGATCCGGGAAGCCCCTCCTAAGACCCAACCATCCTGCCACCCTGCCCCTGGGAACATTGAGATTTGTTTGAGGAGGAGGGGGAGAGGATCCAGGATGACAGCGGGTCCAAGGAGAAGGAAGGTCAGCACTGGGAGGACAGATGGACATGCCCTGAGCCACCATCCAGGGCCCAGGCTGTGATGCCCTCGGACTTCACCCCAAATAAGGACTCCTGATTTATGGACCCAGCTTCTGTGGTTTTACTCCCTCCATCATTCATTCTCTCCCTCATTCATTCCCCACCTCCAACCCTCCCCTCCCTCCCCCTCCCTCCCTCCCTCCTTCCTCCCTCATTCAGCAGAGGATCTGGGGTCGCTGCTGTGTACTGAGCACTGGGGCTTCATCAGTGAGCACCCCCCAAACCACATGGTCACGTCCACTGTGGGAGGTGACGGGGGCAGTCCTCAGGGCTAGCACTGGTGATGAGCACCAGGAATCTGCTCCTGAAAACACAGGCCAGTTGCACAAAGAATGGAGAGACCCATGCTTAGCACTTCCTCTAGAAAAATCTGGTCCTGAAAAGTGATGAAAAGTAAGTATATCCGAGACTTCATGCAATGTGAGTTCTAATGGCAGGTACCTACTGATTCCTAGAACCAACAAAAAGTAAATCATCCAGTGTCGACTGGGGTGTTGTGACCCAGCTTTTCTGACCAAATGACACGTTTCAGCCAACATCTCAGGGCCTCTGAGTTTTCCCAAGGGTCTCTGCGATTCTCTGATCCTTCCATCAACCTCCTTGGGAAGCTCTATCCTGTCGTCTTCCTTGTCTCCTGCCTCTTCTGGGACCCTTCCGTGGCCTCCCCGCCAGGGCCACCCCCACCAGGACTCCCTGTGCCCCCTGGCCTGACGCCCACATCCCATGCTGGGTCCTGTGAGCCCGGTGCTTTTTGCAAGGACTGTGTGCTCCCTCTGGGGTCACTTGGCATCTCCCTTGCAGTGGCCTGCATCTTCCTGTGCTGGGTCTCCTCTGAGCAGTCTGTGAGGCCGGACTGTGTCCATGTCATGGGCACGGAAGCGAGAGTCCAGAAGGTCCAGACGACCTGCTCCCAGTCCCAGCGTGTGGAGCCTGGGTCAAGGATGGTCCGCGAGCAGAGGAAGACTTGGGCCCAGGGAGACTGAGGGAGGATGTGGCACAGTGAGCCTGCAGGAGGAGAGTGAGCACTATGGGGGCCTGGTGCTCAGACCTGCTGGGAGACCGCATCTCACCCACAGCAGCTCTGTCCCCAGGGCTGGAGGGTGTCAGGGTAGCCACCCTCCGAGGCTGTAGGCTGACAGTGACTGGCAGGAGAGAAGGTGCACCTGATGCAGGAGAGAACCCTCAGGCAGAGAGGAGGGGGCAGGTGCTCCCCCAGCAGCTGGAGGAACTCGGGGTAGCCACCCTCCCAGGCTGCAGGATGGCAGTGGCCGGCAGGGGAGGAGGCACCTGGTGCAGGAGAGAGCCCTCAGGCAGAGAGGAGGGGGCAGGCTCTCCCCCAGCAGCAGGTGCACTGGGACAGGCTGAGGGGGCATCCGTGGACAGCAGTGCCTGCAGCTGGGGTCTCCACACAGACCCCCTCCTCAGGCTCAGCACAAGCTTGTCTGGATGGCCTTTGTCCCCCAAATACAAAGTCTGGCCCAGGACCCTCCTCAAGCCCCGACTCCCAATCCTTTGACCTCAGCTCAAGTGACAAGAAATGGCCAATAGTTTAGGTGGGGTTGGGTGCACAGGGACATTTGCTTTTCTGGCCCATGCTGTAACATTGCTGGCATTTTAAAGATCTCAGGGCTTTGATTCAAAAATGGTAGGATGCCGGGGTCCCCAGACAGCCTTCTGGAAACCTGCCTCTGGGCCTTGCAGCCCTCCCATCCCACCAGTTCTGCTCAGAATCCCTCCAGGTCACAGACCCACGATCTTGGCTCCTCAGATGGCCCGGACGATGCACCTTCAAAAAGCGATCCCGGTGGGGCAGCAGGACACACTGCGGATTCCAGCAAGTCCACCTCCCAGAAACTGAGTGTACTACTGCTGGACGAGCTGTCTGAAAACAGCCATGTCAAGGTTCCAGGAAGATACCAGAGGCACAGGAGTAACTGAGGAGCATCTGAAGGTCAGGTAGGGGCAGTCAGAGCTTCCAGACCCTTCTTCCCTAAAGCTCCTCATTCCTCAGCTTTTCTTCCGGTGATTCTGCCTGGTTTCTATTTGCCCCAACTGTTATCCATTGCCTTAGGCAGCAGAGACTCACGTATGCCTTTAAATGTTTTGGACATTGAATGTCCTCCAGTAGCCACTTCACTGCTGGGAGAGTTGGTAGCAAACAAGAAGTCCCAGAGGACTCCAAGGGTCTGGACTTGGTGTTTCCCTCTCCTGAGATGGGGACAGCTGTGGGAGGTGCAGGTGGTCAGCTGGGGGAGGGGGGCAGGCACCTGACGTGGACAGATGGGGTATAGGTAAGGTCCGAGGCCCCCGGGGTATGTGCCTGGCATCCGGACTGAACAGGTCTTCAAAGCTGCAGACTGGCTGGGATCATCTTCAGGCTGAGGAGGAAGGTGAGGGGAGCAGAGGGTACTGAGGAGGTTCGGCTTAGACAGGAGATGGCTGAGCCATACTTTTGGGGGGAAAGTGGGTCAGGTTCAGGCTCACAGGGACAGACCTTGAGGCCATTATGCCATGTGAAATAAGCCAGTCCCTAAAGGACCGACACCGGAGGACCCCACTTGTGAGGGACGGAGAGCACTCTAATTCACAGAGGTGGAAGGAGCTGCTGGGTGCCGGGGCTGGGGAAGGGGAATGGTGGGTTAGGGTCTCGTGGGTAGAGGTTCAGTTTGGGATGATGAAAACATTGTGGCGATGGACGGAGGTAGCCGGTGCAGAACAGGGAATATACTTATTGCCACTGAAACGCGCTTCATGGTATCAGCTGTATGTCCATTATACCACAATACAAAAGAAGTGAGTCAGGAAGTCGGGGCCGTCGTGAGTCCCTGGAGGGCCCAGGAGCAGGGAGCCTGTATCTTAGTTCTCACTCTCATGCTCTGCCCCTTGTTGGGTGACTGAGCTCAGTAAATGCTTGCTAAGACACAGTGCAGGCAGATGATCCAGAGAAAGTGTACAAGTGCAAACCCACTGGTGGGCACTGAGGAATCCCAAGGGGACACGCATCCAGACAGAGCGAGTGCCCACATTTCACAAACACCAGCACAGAAATAGCCATTTAAAACCAAGGCAGGAAACTTACATAGCCCAGAGGGCACCACGCTCCTGGAGGCTGAGCTAGTGGCCACGGCCAAGGCCTCTGGTGGTGAGGGCACTGGGGGTCTGAGAGGTGGCTCGGCGCACCCCTGACCCTGAAGCCCCATGGCCGCGGTGAGGTGTAAGGACTGGGAGGGAAGACCTGGCCAGTGCCCATTCTGGTTCCATGGCTGTTACAGGACTGCTCCCAGCGCCACCAGGCGGTGTCTGTTTAGAACCAGAGAGAAAACCTTTTCCCTCAATTGTTCTTTTTAAAGATGGTTGCTCAGCATTGACACAGAAAAACATCTGACATAAAACTGGAGCCGTTCACAGCTGCAAATGACCTGGAAATGCTCAAAAGTTAGTGACCACAAAGAGAGGAACGTGTGCCCCCAGGCAGGCCTCCTGTGCACAGGGGTGCCTGGGGCGTTGGCATGCCCATGCAAGCAGTGCTGGGCTCCACAGTTTCCCTCAAGGGGACAGAAGTAGGAATCTGCTCTGACGGCTCCGCTCAAGGCAGCACCCCCTGATGGAGAGGGGGGCAGCCCCTCGTGAGTTCCAGATGTCCTGGTGATTCTTGGGCACAGCCACAAATCTCAGCTTCTTCATGACCCAGGGAATGATGGGGGGCCAGCCCAGCAGCCTCGGGTCCCACAGATCCTCCAGGGGACAGCCCAGCAGCCGCGGGTCCCACAGGTCCTCGAGGGGAGGGTCCTGCATGACCGCGGGTCCTGCATGGCCTCTGGGGGCAGCCCCTCATGATTTCTGTGTCCTGGTGATTCTTGGGCATGGCCCGAATCTCAGCTTCTTCATGACAGGGGCCAGCCCAGCAGCCACGGGTCCCACAGGTCCTTCAGGGGACAGCCCAATAGCCACAGATCCCATAGCTCCTCTGGGGACAGCCCCTCATGAGTTCTGGGTGTCCTGGTGATTCTTGGGCACAGCCATGGATCTCAGCTTCTTCATGACCTGGGGAATGATGGGGGGGCCAGCCCAGCAGCCGGGGGTCCCACAGGTCCTCTGGGGACAGCACCTTGGTGGGCCTGTGGTCCAGCAGGTACCTGTTTAGGTGGCTCTTAACGGGCCACATGGCCTCAATCCCATTGGCCCAGTTGACCACCATCGCCTGGTGACAGGCCGAGGTCAGTCGGGGAACCTCCACCACCAATCCCCCAAAAAAGGCCCCCATGTAGTAAAAGTTGCCCTGGTCGCTGGGGATGTGGGTCTGGGACTGTGGCCAGCACGCGTAGCTAAAGTCCTCGTGGGCTGCCCAGTAGAAACCGGGGCGTGGGGTGCCAAAGAGGGTGGACAGGATCTCCATGCCCACATGGTCCCAGAACTTCATTCCCACAT